AAATAGAATGATAAAATGGGGGGGGAGAGATATAGATAGATAGAATCAGAGTATAGAGATAGAGAGAGATAGAGATGAATTAAAATAGAGATAGAGAAGAGAAGAGATAGATAGAGATATAATAGATAGATAGATAGAGATAGAAGATAGAGATTGATTAGAAGATAAAGAATAAAAGGAAGAGAGAGAGGGGAGGGGAGAGAGAGATAAAGATAGAGAGAGAGATAGAGATAGAAAGAGATAAGAGAGAAAACAAGTAAATCTCATATTGGAAAGAAGACCAAAAGGGGAATGACCTCAATGAAGAAGTCGTGGAGATAGACCCCATACATACTTTTAAGAAAATAGGTACAATAGGGCCCAAAAGGGTTTAAAAAAGAGTGAATCTGGTGAGCAGCAAGTTGAGAGGCAGACCAGAAGCTAAAATTTGTCCCTGCAACCACATATAGCGAGGGTAAACGAGGTGAACTGATCATGTAGTTACATTACATAACTAGTAACCACTATAATTTTAAGAAATCCCTTACATACACTGGGCATTAATTACTTCCTAGTCTTTCCAGGAAGAAATTCAGCAAAAGCATAAGTGAAGCTGCGGGTATTACCTAGGGGATGAAAAGATTATTCAGAAAACTACAGAAATTATTACAAGGGGTAAACCTCCCCATTTCTTCCACTCCAGTAACCCTGGAGCAATAAGTCAACAAAAAGTAAGCCATCTAGGTAAAGTAACATAATCAAGTTCATGGAAAAGGGACAGACGAGACTGGTCCTGTACATGCCAGCAGTACCATCAATGGGCACAGGAACAATATTCATAAAACTAAAACATATGAGAAACACAAGTAAAACAGAAAAAAGATCCTTATGGGTATAAGGTCCTTCTAGAGCACAAAGATAAGCCTGAATAAGTAAAGCCAGTCACAACTGTGCCCAAGAAATTTAACAAGTGCAATACAACTGATTTTAATTTTTTAAAATGCATCACAAGCTGTCCACATCAACTAATACGGAAGACACGTGGAGGCACAATGATGGTGAGAAATCAAAAGAGCTACCCCTTTATAATGGTTGGGACAAAAAAGTACAGGGAACTTGCAATGATGAAACACAAGAGTCCTGTTGCAAGACCTTCAAGAATGGTCTTGAACCAGAAACAATGGCTGACAACATGGTCAGGAACCATGGTGAAGTGAAGAATGGAACTATGTTAATGGAAGGAAAACTGTGGGGAAATAGAAAATATGATAATATAGGGGTAACAACCTGCAAAAGTATGCCACCATGCTTTGCAGGGTAGGTGTTTTGGGAAGTGAAGTAATGAAAACTCGAACCGAAACTCACTAAAATAACACCCTCTGGAACTACAAAGAGGTAGTTAGGAAAAACATGTTATTTCATTATTTCCAGATTCAGGCTGAGTGTGAAGACCAAACAACAGCTAAGGGATTTACCACTGAGATCTGCTAGTTTTCTCTAATGAGCAACTAGAAAAAATGTTGAATCAAATAGATAAAATACATAGCCTTCCAGTACGTGTAACTGTAGCTATTTAATATAAAATAAACTGAAAGAATTGGACCATTGTTACGAGATATCTTCATGAATGACATGCCTGAGTGCAAGCAGAAAATATGGTGGCAAGAAGTGCCAAAGAAACACCATCACTAGTGTGTCACAGTTGAAGGTCACTAGTGTATAAATGCTGAACAATGACCACGTTGTTTCCTCAAACCATACACGGGCATGATTCTGAAGCCCCACGTCAGAGAGCCTCAGAAACTTCCAGACTGCCGCGTTAGCCACAGGACCACTAGCCACAATAAGTTTCATCCAACTAGGAATATTTCACAAACAACCATAGGAAGGTTAGCATAGCGCACCACTGGTCACAGTGGAGCCTATTCTAACCTTCCTATGGTATAGAAATATACCTAGTTGGAACGAATCTTTATATGTAGGCTAGCTGGTCCATGTGGCTAACTCAACGTCTGGAGTTCTGAGACTCTGACTGCGGGTTTCAAATCCCGCCCATTGTATGGTAAATGTTTGCACAACGTGTCATAACGATTTCGTGAGTCCGTGTTTCCTCAGTAAATTTGTGTGAAACCATACAAAAACTGCAGTGAATTTGCTCTGGTGCAAGCTTTATATAGGCGACCTGAATAAACAGCTTAAGTTTATCAACAGGCTTTTAGAAAGCTCTCATAAAAGGATAAATTTACTTCATATTTCTCCATTTTCTATGATTATATTTAAATTTTATAACATACCACCATGACACGTCGGTGAAAAAAGCTAAGCCTGTCTGAGACACTACTGTACGTTATCACAACCAAAGATAGACATGCTTAAAAAACAATGCCCATTAATATCACAAAACTTCTATCACTCCCAAACAAGCCGTCAGGTCCCCAAACACCATATGTCTCTCACATCACTCCTAACACACTTATGCACACTTGTTGGAAATCCCCAAACCCCTCGCTCCACAAAACCTTCCTTTAGTACCCTCCCTTCAACATTTCCCCTAGGGACGACCTCTACTTCTGCCCTACTTCCATTCTACAGATTTATACGCTCTCCACTCATTCTACTTTGTTTCCATCTTCTCTAAATGACCAAACCACGGTCAACACACCCCTCAACAGGCCCTCTGACTCCACATCTCCTAATTCCACACTACAGAAATTCTCTGCATACATATTTAACACCACACATTGTCCTTAGATACGACATCTCCACTGCCTCCAGCCCCTCCTTGCTTCCACACCCATGTACAAGAGTGTTGTACCCTATACTTTCGTATACGACCTTCTTTGCCTCCCATGGCTAATGTTTTTTTTTATTCTTTTTTTGTCACCAGATACCTCAAAGCACCACTCCCGCCCCCCCTTTTTTTTTCCCTTCCATCAATTCTATGGTTAACCTCGTCAACCAATTGAAGGCGCCATATATCTCAGTACATTCCACTTCTCTCCATACTCCCTCCCTTCAATGTGATATCCAATTTTTCTTTATTTAAATCATTCGATACCCTCCTCACCTTACTCTTATTTATGTTCACTTTCAGCTTTCTACCTTTACACACCCTCCCAAACTTGTCCACTAACCTTTGCAACTTTTCTTTAGTAAACTTAAGTCCCTCTTCCCTTTATTATTATATTTGTTTTATATTTAGGGATGTTAGAGTTAGGCTGGCTACAAGATTATACCGATAATAAAATATAGCATCTTTGGTAAAATGACTGATACAAAAAATAAACTCAGTGATAAAGCCTTAATTATAGTTTCAAAAGGTTCTTTGGCTCATTCCCTGCCTTTGGCACATGACAACATGATAAAAGCACAACTGAATTGACAATGTGTACTCCAGATCTTGAGGAAACTGAGAAAGAGGTGAACATGAGGCAGGAATTCACTGTGACCATGACATATGGTATAGGTTCTGAGTCACCCTCCTGAATGATTAAAATGTTGATCAAAGAAATGGAGCAACCCTACCCTAGACTGAACCTAAATGCCTCCTGTTCCCCAGGTACAATACAATCCTTATGGGTTTAAAGTTTTCCCCATGGATATAACAATAATAATCATAATAATAAAATAACACTTATTTGATTATGATAATATATACAGCATTTGCAACCACTGCAATGTCTGTCAATAAAACTAGCTGCATCTGAAGTGTTCTGTGACACTCACTTGGATAAGTTTAGACATAAGTATATACATCTCTTCTGACCTTCAAGCTAGCACACAACAAATGTTTGACCACTGAGTTAATAGACTTATTAAATCAAATGGGCCAACTAAAAAACTCCTTTTGTAGAGTCAGGAAAATACATAAGCTATCAGAATGGCCACACAAATCAATTTGAATGCTGCTACGTATATAGTAAGAGTATACTAAAAAAGTCAATCAAGAGAGCATTCATTATCATCTAAACATGAACTTTATAAGATAGAAATTTTTCATCCTTACTCTTTTCACTAGGCCTAAGAACAGGTTTTGAAGATGGATTAGGAACTCGTGAGGGTAAATGGCCCAGTCTTCCCAGGCACGGCAACACTGCATAATACGTTGCTTGACCTGCTCTGCT